CCAATATATACTTCGAACTACAGACCAATTTCTCTTATTAATTTAGATATTAAAGTATATTCTAGAATTTTGGCCGATAGACTCAAACAAAACATACCTGATATTGTTCATATAGATCAGAGTGGGTTTGTAGAAGGTAGGGATACATCGGATAACATTAGGAAATTACTGAATGTTTTATATCATGCGGATCAAAGTCTGTCCCCCTTCGCCATGGTTACCCTTGATGCCGAGAAGGCCTTCGACCGTGTTAACTGGAAGTATTTGGAAGAGGTTTTGAAGGCCTTCGGCATAGAGGGTCTCTTTAAGGAGTGTACAATGGCGTTATATAAAGATCCTCAAGCTAGAGTCTCAGGATTTATGTTTCAATCAAACTGGTTCCCAATCAGAAATGGGACGCGACAGGGCTGCCCTTTGGCACCCCTGTTATATATCCTCTCTATAGAACCGCAGGCAGCCGCGATTAGACAGAATGATGACATCAGCGGGCTAAAAGTGAATAGTCTGGAGAATAAAATTGCACTTTATGCAGATGATGTTCTATTGACTCTTATAGATCCTATTAGATCTATCCCAGCTGTATTTTGTCTTATTAATGAGTATAGTAAATTTTCAGGCTATAAAATAAATATAAAGAAAACACAAATCCTGACAAAAGGTCTAAATGGACCTGGGGTAAAAAAACTCAAAAAGGAATTTAAATGTGATTGGGAAGCAAGGAATATAAAATACTTAGGGGTAAGACTATCTCTAGACTATAGGGAAACCGGTGAATTTAATTATACAGAAATAGCTACCCAATTTAGGAGTACTCTAAAAAATTGGAAGGGATTGGAATTATCTTGGTTGGGAAGAATCAAAGCGGTAAACTCCTACCTACTCCCCAAAATGACATTTTTATTTTGTAACCTCCCATTGAGGGTTCCATTCCAGACGATATGCGGTTTTCAAAAACAGGTTTCGGATTATATATGGCAAGATAGGAGACCCAGAGTATCACTGGAAATTTTACAGAGAGATTGGAAGGAAGGGGGAATCTCTTTCCCAGATATACAGAAACTATATATGAACAATATGGTAGCACACTTAATTAAATGTGATAATTTTACAATGTCAAGACCAGTCTGGTTAGATATTGAAAAATCGGATCTCTGTAATATTGAACCTCTATTTCTCTGGTGGTGTGACAGTGAATTTGTAAAAAATATAAGGCTTAGTAACCCGATGAACAACACAATGATCTATATTGTAAAATACTTAAAGAAAAAATATGGAACTAGACATATATCAAGAAACGCCCCATTAACATGTCTAAAACTTTATATAAAAGATATAAATATTCAAGAATGGGAAAAGCGTGGAATTGCAAAAATTGCGGAACTTCTAAATGATAACAAAATATTGTCATTCGCAATGTTACAGCTCAATTATAACCTCCCTTCGAAGGAAATATTTAATTACTTAAGAATAAATTCTTTTATTATGGGAAACATTTTTTCTGAAACTTCTCCAATTGACCAGTTTGTAGCATTCCATTACAAAAAAAATCGCATCCAGATTTAATCAATTTATAAGAAGCCAAAGGCAAATAGTTAAAGCGTTGGCGATGAATAAATGGGAGCAGGAACTCCACTTTTCATCCTCAGTTGAAGATTGGATTTTGGGCCTACAATCAGTAAAAAGATATATACATGGGGTGAATATACAGGAAGTGTACTTTAAACTGGTATATCGTTGGTACCTGGTGCCCACTCGCCTCCATAGATTTCAACCCACACTTCTACCAGATTGTTGGAGATGTGGTAGGGAGCTAGGCTCATTCTCCCACATCTGGTGGGACTGTGAGGAGTTGAAGTCTATGAAAATAACTTTATCGGACTTGGTAGATTCCATTTTGAAGGTTCAAACTGTTATCACGGCTCAAATGTTCCTGTTCCACTTAGATTTGCCAAAAGTTAATATAAAACAAAAAATTCTTATGATTCACTCCTTTATGGATAATAAAAATAGTTATGGCCAGAAATTGGAGAAATATGGGTTCGTTAAACTGGCATGATATATGTATACAAATAGATTATCAATGTAGGATGGAAGCTGGGTTAGCCTCAAATAAGTTATCCAGAGAGAAATATGTTGAAATCTGGGCCCCTTGGGTTAGATATCTTAGCTGTAAAAACTCAACTCCCCTCCCACAGATAGCCACTCTTAGGTAGCACCAATGTGAAATGATTGTAAGGAAGAGGAATTATATGCTATATTCTCTTCTTTTTGTTTGATTGTAGACAATGTAGATAATGTTCAAATGTATGAAATATGGCTACACTAAATATATGTATAATTAGGGATTATTCTAGCCTCGGTGAGGGAATAATCTAAATTTTATTAAAGACAGGAGGCGAATATTTGCTTTACCTTCTTTACTGAAACCTCCAGCAGCAAAGAAACAGTTAACAGAACTTTTCAAAACAACCAATCAGAACAAAGCAACAGTAGTATAAAACCCCTAAGCAGGCTCTTCCACTTCCTCTTTCTTTGATGAGGTCGAGCAGGAGAGCAAGGAAACCAACGAATCCACCTTGTAGCAGACACATCCAGAGAAACAATCGTCAAGCCCAGAGAGAAAACAGATTACACTGCAAGAAAACAGAAAACATTGTGAAAGTAAACTGTCAAGGCAAGATGTCATATCCATACAATATCACTTTCACATCATAATACCTGATGAATAAACAAAGTCTACAGATCTTATGAAGACCTAGTATGTACCTAAGCTAAAAGGCATTGACGAAACATAATTACAACACAAACATGATGAATAAAACGCACACGGACAACCATCACTGAATATTAGAAATAACCTTTATTATGTAAAACCATGCATTCACAAAACATAAACAATATCCCCAATTATTTATAATAGAATAAAACCCAGATCCAGGGAGGGAACGTAAAAAAAAAGGGGGGGAAATATTCGCCTCCTGTCTTTAATAAAATTTAGATTATTCCCTCACCGAGGCTAGAATAATCCCTAATTTTATGGCAGGACAGGAGGCTTCATATTTGCAATTTTAACGCCCAAATAGTAGAACCAGAAGCAATATGAGATAGAGGACTGAAATAAAGGAGAATGGAAAAACTGATTCCCTAAACAAAGCAGCGGTGTAGAGAAAATGCAGAAGGGACCCAACGGCTTCCAAAATTGTTGAGGTGACAGCACCCCGAACCAAAAGTGTCACAGAGGAACTCAAGGTCAGTCAATGAGAGGATCCACCAAATCCAACGGGCGAGCGAAGATGCAGAAACAGTCCAAAACGGCCATACGCAGAAATAAACAGCTGTCCATGAGTAGACGGACGAAAGAGCCAGATCCTGGATCTACATGGTCGTGTACAATCTGTCAACAGAGCTGTGGCCTATCCGGAGAATAGGGGTACGACACAGAGGACGAATAAAAATGAAATATGTGTTGTGCAGAAGCCGATGTACTGAACGGCAAGAAGGAAGAAGACACGTCGATACCATGACGTCAGAACGCGATGAAATACAAGATGTACTGGGGGAAAACCGTAAGCGGAAAAAACTGTCAAGAGATAGGGCTCCCGTACGGTATACTCCTCTAGGTAGACTGCAGACCAAGAGATCCTTAGCAATGCCAGAATCTTGAGAAACGCACATGAGTCGTCCACTAGCTGACATAGGACGTGAATGGCCCCATACGATCCTACCCTGAGAGGGCAACTCAGCCAGACAATGGGGACAGCCATGATAAGGACCGCCATTGAGACCCAAACACAAGTCGTGGCAGGCTACCCCTGTGGATCCCAAGTGGGACATTAAGAGACAGGGAGTCGTAGATTGCCTTCCCATGGCAAACTCGAGCAAAAAGGGGGAAGCACGCAGGACTCCTCCGAAGTGGTTTGGCCAGGCGAAACGACACTTCCAGGAATTCGGTCTGAAGCAAAAACCCAGAGTATCCTGTAGGTAAACGGGATGCGTACGCCCCGAAGGAGACCAAGCTTGGAAAACTCGTCCCTCGCCTCGCTGAGGGTCCGGCAGCCAGTTGGAGAACCGCTCCATATGGCGGTTCGCACCGAATGTAATCATGCCAGTACTCGAGACCCTGGAGGGTGAGGCAACCAATCATTGGGGTCTCTCCATGGCCGGGTGAAGCCGTCCGCCACACAAGTGTCTCGTCCCGCATACATTCTGTCACAAATGACGAATACTTGTCCAGAAGCTATAGATAGCGATCCTATGTGAGATCCGACTGCAGTCCGTAGTGGGCAACCGGTGAGAAGTCCATGCCGGAAGGTAGCGAGCAATACTGTGAATTTTGAACAAACCTGCAGGTAGTTCCATGCAGTTGGCGTAAAGGAGTCCCTCCTCCGGAGTCATCAATTAAGTCTTAGATGAGCTTCATCCGAAGGTCACATGATTTGGTCATACCAGGCCAAAGACCCGAGAAAGCGCCATGTTGGAGCGGCTGATAGTACCGGATCCTTGAGGTATGGCTTCCATGGCGAATAGGCACCGGTCAATTAACCGGGTTGGGCCCCTAAGTGTAACCCGCAGGTTGCGAAGCATATACCTGGTATTTTCCTTGAAGACGGACATCTTGGTCCTCGGGAGGCGGAGCACCGCCTGGACCGAATATTCCATGAAAGACCGGAAACTGGGTTGACTTGGAGTGAGTCAGATTCAATATGTCCATGTAGATGGCAAAATCCATGCGGGTTTCTCTCATATGCATTTGAGGGAGAGAACCAATCGTCAACGCCGAGCAGCTCTCAGAGGGGATGAGTGCCCTCCGTCTCAAAATGTGTCAACAGACGACATGCACTGGGAGCATGTAGCGTGGGGATGGGGCGGGAGTCCACTCCACCGCACCCTTTGCCCAGCAGGGCAACTGCGGAATGAGTCGGAATGGATGCCTCTTTTGGTCATGCGTATCGCTCATGGAACGGTCCAAGGTTCCGCAACCTTGATCTGGAGTCCGGGCAGGCCAGAGAGACCTCTGGGCTAGTTAAGGGGGAACCCTATGAATAGAGACATGTCGGCTCAATTTGTAGACGAGGGTAACTCCGGAGAGCAGACCCAGCACTTGGATGCTAAATCCATCAGTTTGATGTCCAGCTTGGACAGGGGCCGTTTTGCGGTTCTCAGGGGTAGAAACCAACTAGGCGATACCTATAAGTCATATCGGTCCATTCCCAGTGGGAATTTAGTCTTCTCCGCTTTCCAAGCGGTAACGTGCCGTTCGTCCCAAGGAAACATCTGTTTCCGCGTGTCACCGACACCCACTGGTTAGTCCCAGATAGAGTGCAAACCCCGTGTCAGGTGTTTGCGGTGTCCTTTCCGGACTCCGTCATGAAGACTGATCCTCTTGATGAATCCATCCGTTAGCCAACGAGTACCAGGGGTGCTTGGTGTAGCGTCTAGGATGGCCGGTGGAGTGTCCCCGTAGGGCACCGATGGTTTCTGGCAGTGAGGTCAGCGGGGCGGCAAGAGGACAGGCCAAGTGACCTTCTGGGTACGGGAGATTTGTCCTTCAGCCGTGATTGCACAAATGATACCTGGTGCGGCCAGCTGGGGGTCACCCAGTGTGCAAGAGGGGGTCACCCAACAAGCACAAGCATACCATGCAGTATAGGCCAGCAGGGGAGGGGGTCACCCTCAGTCTGAACATAATCGGACACTGTAGGTACAGTGGTGCGGCCAGCTGGGGGTCACCCAGCGTGCAAGAGGGGGTCACCCAACAAGCACAAGCATACCATGCAGTTTAGGCCAGCAGGGGAGGGGGTCACCCTCAGTCTGAACATAATCGGACACTGTAGGTACAGTGGTGCGGCCAGCTGGGGGTCACCCAGCGTGCAAGAGGGGGTCACCCAACAAGCACAAGCATACCATGCAGTTTAGGCCAGCAGGGGAGGGGGTCACCCTCAGTCTGAACATAATCGGACACTGTAGGTACAGTAGTGCCGAAGTGGTTAGCCGTATAATAAAGTAACCAAACATTGCCGGTCCAGCAGTGTAGACGGCAGGAGGGGGTCACCCTCATATAACCAGAACCGGGCATTGCAGATCCAGCAGTGCTGTAGGTAAGAGGGGGTCACCCTCAGTGTGGTATCATAGAGGTCTGTACACCCAGCAGTGTAGTCAGCGAGGGGGGGTCACCCTCATTATGGTTATAACGGGACCCTGTAGGTCCAGCAGAGTAGTCCACAGGAGGGGGTCACCCTCAGTATCTGCGTATTGCAGGGCACTGTAAGAACAGAAGCTCAATCAGTGGGAGGGGTACCCTCTTTTATGGGAATACCCGGACGCTGCAGGTCCTGCAGTGCAGACTGCAGGAGGGGTACCCCCTCGGTATGATAATAGCAGGACATTGCCGGAGCATTAGTATAGGAAGCAGGAGGGGGTCACCCTCAGCATTAATCTTACAGGACGCTGTAGAGCTAGCAGGGTACTCATAGGTAGCCATGTTGCCAGAGGGAGGGGGTCACCCAGCCCACAATGGTGTCACACGTCCATTATTATGGTCCAGTAGCAGGGAGAGCCCCAGAAATATGGATGGGGGGGTTCACCCCCCAGTAATAACAGGTCTGAATGTGAGGCCAGTAGCCCCGCTGAGGGGTAGGAGGGTCCATATAGCGAGAAGCTGACTCACAGACCACTCAGGTATTATATTAGGATACACTTTTGAAGTGTATGTGTAGTGGAAAATTTAAGTCCCTTGCAGGAAGGGCAGCAAATCCTAGGCAGGGGAGCTAGGTGCTGAAAAACAGGCCATTAATTTTTATGAGAAAAAGACTGAACCTTAGAGGAAGACTTGATTAGCATATAACACATGTGGCACATTCTTGTTAAACAAAGATTTTTATTTGAGCAGTAACATGTCCCTTTAAATCTGAGATTCACATGTAATAGTAAAAAAAAGTGTGACAAGTCTACTGCTAAGATAGAGAACCTAGTCACATTGCATCAGACATAGTAAGCTGCAGTTGTGAGCATGCCTGGGACAGATTCTGCTATCCAGGATCTGTTACATATGCAGCATGTGAGACAGGCACAGTAAGTAGAGGGATAGCTGAAAAACTGGGCTATCTTCCTTGATATAGGGAGAGAGGAGGGTGGCCACATGGCCAGCAGGCCAGTTCTTGGGTGAGACCTGGCTGTTCGCAACGCACAGAGCCCATGTGGCTCTGAAAAATGGCCGCCACGGCTCCAACAAAATGGCTGCCGTGGCTGCAAAAACAGAGCGCGGCCTACCGCGTGGTGATCGTGCGGCACTGCAAGCAGCCAGGGGCCACGGGGAGCAGGTGGGGAATAAGGGAGAAGGGTATGGGCGACAGAGCCCAGCAGGGGAACCCGGGGAGGGGGAACAGATTACAGGCAGAGCCAAAGCATCATAGCAGGGGCACCCATTCCCCATACAGCAGAGTGAGAAAACAGTATAAAGTAACCCAGAATAACAATAAATCAATGAGCAGTATACAGAATCTGTCAGATAAATAGCCTAAATACAGCAACAGATGTTAACAAGTGATACAGCAGCTACATAGCATGAAGTGGTATAGGAAATAACACAGCAATAGACTGCTGGATAAACACAGCAATAGACTGCCTAGATAAACACAGCAATAGACTGCCTAGATAAACACAGCAATAGACTGCCTAGATAAATCCAGCAATAGACTGCCTAGCTAAACACAGCCATAGACTGCCTAGCTAAATCCAGCAAGAACCCTGCCTAAATAAATCCAGCAATTAAGCTGCCTGAACAAACCTAACACATAGACTGATTAAATAGACTGTTTAAATAAACAAGCAGCATGTAGAATAAAACAACAACCAAGAGCAGAGACAACTCTGAGTTGGTGAGTGCTCACCTGGAGGCAGCAGCAAAGAAAGAGGAAGTGGAAGAGCCTGCTTAGGGGTTTTATACTACTGTTGCTTTGTTCTGATTGGTTGTTTTGAAAAGTTCTGTTAACTGTTTCTTTGCTGCTGGAGGTTTCAGTAAAGAAGGTAAAGCAAATATGAAGCCTCCTGTCCTGCCATAAAATTACATAATTTACTGTAAAGTAATATATTGCACCATATTGTAAAATCTATTTTTGAAAATGCATTTGGATGAAACTTTTAAAATGAAAAATAAAAATTATATATATATAAAAAAAAGCTGTGTAAAAATACCTGAAAGACAATAAATGGTAATTTAAACTAAAGAACCACACTGATATTTTTTTAAATGGGTGCGTAGTCATGCTGGTATTGCCAAGAGTCCCCTGACACAAACCTACCCGACACAATCATGTGCACAAACAATCATTTTGAGAATACTGTACATATAAACAGAGACAGAGTATTATACTAGTATATTAAATTAGTAGAGATGATTGAACATACAGACTAACAAATGATACAGAGTGTGTGTTTTTTTAACATTCCTACCAAAATTATTCATGTTCAATGTAATGTAGTAATTCTGTGCTAAAGGTAATTACCACATTAGAGCTATGTATTAACATTTGACCACCATGGTTATTGTGCTAAAATTCTTTCTCAGATTTTTGAGAATATTTCTTTAAAAAAAAAGTAAAAAAAATAAACCACAATGGACAGGCACCTAGTGAAAAGCCAACCAAATATAAATTGTTAAACCCACAATCAGTGCATAATGTGAATAAAAAACAGGTGGTCAATCTTCATTGATCTATCCTTAATAAGTTTGTGTGTACCTACAGTGTTCTTGGTTCATGGTGTTGTGGCTGACAGCCCACTTTCCTAGATGTCAGTGCTGGTTGGGTTCACTCTGAGCATTAACATTGGGATCATGGTGTCTACTTTGGTGTGGACATCAGAATAGCTATGTCCTTGGAATGCTGAGAGCCACGTGTCATGATATCAACGCACATGGCATACTTTTTGGAAAGCTCTACCTAGTGTATAAAGCTACAGGGTACACTAACGAAGGTGCTCAGTTATTTATATGCACCTGTAACAATGACTCAATATTCAGATATTTTTTGAATTGAACTTTAGAATGTCATGCATCTGGGTCACCTTTCTGCCTTTTAACCTAGCTATTCTTGACCCCTCATTGAATGAATCCACTGACCCTTATTACTCCTAATCGCTGCTGCTATTTCCACTTTAAATTCATACACACTATATAAGTGGCTTTGTGAAGTTCCTATACACCTACTGTTTATAGTATATTTTTTTGTAAACATGCCCTCTTCTCTACTACCATTAAAAATAATAAAAGTTTACCTTCCACATTATCATATACTTTTGCTGAATTTTCAACATCAGTTATAGGTTTCAAGTACTAGGACAATCTAAAGTTGGAAAATAGGTATAACTCTGTTAAAGCAAAAATACTTATCATTGTGTGTTTTATTAAATGAATGTATTATACATTAACCTCCAAATGCAACAACTATTTGTTCTCAGGTATGTGACAACTCCAAGCTATGATTGCTGAGACAGGGCACTTCATAATCAGAAAGATAAGAGGATGAACAGTACTTAATTATTGCATCTTTACATGCAAAATAACTTGTGATTAGAATCATTTAATGATCTCATATTAATCTTGAGTTGTTTAAAAACATTACACTCTAAATAACTAATTTTCAAAATCATATTCCACAGTCGATGTGATGTGCTCAGCATCTGGGGCTAGCACTGCAAAAAATAAATCATGATAGCAAATATTAATTTGCAGGATGCAGACCAATCTTGGTTTGTAAATTCAATCCCTGGGAGGCAGCATACAGTAGAAAATGAATGTTCTCCTCTTTTATTGACAGACTTATTGCTTCTCCTGGTTTTATTATGCAGAATAATAAATTAAATAATTAGACGGCTGCATGGTCCAGTTTGCCAAGCAGTAAAGAATATAAATCAGCATAATTAGTAATGCAGTATACTAGTTGTATTATTAACTATTTTGTGCTTATTTCACTTAACATTTTTGTCATATATTTTTTATTTGTTTTCCATGAAAAACCTTTGTTAATTAAAAACCAAATTAAATATTTAGGACAAAAATAGTAGATTATGAAAGAAATATATCCAGTTGATAATTTTTTTTAGTTTGTCTATTGTTGCTTTTAACTCATCATAATTCATTGCCTAGTAAAGGTTAAATATGTGTATACTACTTGGAAGCCAAAGTTTAATCTCTATTTCTAAACTGTTCAGGCATCAGGAGGGTAGGTTCAGTTCCTGCCACGGCTACTGTCACTTTGGAAACTAATGTTAACCAATTCAACAGATAACATTATTCTTAATCACATTAGTCATTACTATAAAGGGTTCGATATATATTTGTCTCGAAAATTAAATACATTGAATTTTTGTTATTTGTAAAAAGTACAGAATTAGCTTTAGAAAGTCTAAGCACCAAAATAACTTTAACTTAATTAAGTTTTGGTGTATAGGTAATTCGCCTGCAGTCTCATTAAATTTACAGTCATTCCTTTTAACTCAATTGTTTATGAAGTCTTAGTCACACCTCTTTCTAAAATAGTATCAAAATGTTTTAGCTTTTCTTATTACACAGTGTGATTAATTTAGAATTTCTTATCTCCTTCTCTGTTAATTGCCTGCTAGAGCCAGCAACAGCCTCCTGTGTGTGATTAAAGTTCAATTAGCAGAGCGGGCGATAAGAACTCATAAAGTAAACACATTGTGCTGTAAGTTCTGATTGAAAATGAAAACATTTTTTTCCAAGCAATCTGTGTGAGTCACAGCCAAGGGAGGTGTTGCTATGGCTGCATAAAGAGAAACAAAAGTGATTTAACATCTAAATGGCAGATAATTAAGCAGTGCGGCTGCAGGTGCATGATACAGCAAAACTGCTTAATTAAGCTAAGGTTGTTTGGTTGTTTAGAATACCCCCTTAAGTTGGGTGAGTCACCACTAGACACTTTAAGAGTATTTCATGAAGATAAATCCTTTCTGAAGTACAAATTCTATCTGCATTTGAATTCAATTGAAATTCCAACAAAGTCATAGGATATTATGAGACAAAATGGGGACAAAAGTCCAGGTTGACAAAAGTTAACAAACGGTGGAGCTTTAACCATCAAGTTTTGTCACTTCTTACATCTGTCACTAATGACAGTTGTGAGAAAGAAAGTAATAGAGGTCCAGGCACTCCTTGGTTCAAGGCAGGTACTTTATTAGGAATTACAACAGTTGTTGTGGTTCCTAACAAAGTACCTGTCTTGAACCAAGGAGTGCCTGGACCTCTATTATTTGATACATTTTTGGAAATCTGGTGTTTGATTCCGGTTCAGCAAGCACCCTGGCCCAGATTTATGGGAGTGATTGCAGTTCCACACACACTACTAAAAGTTGTGAGATAGAGACATCACCATAACCGTCATGTAAGATGGTCTATTCATATCACAGGGTCATCCAGAAGCCTCTGTGTTATACACTTGTAAAGCATGAGACTACAGCAGTGCTACATGCTCTTGGCAGATAAAGCACCAGAAAATGAAGAAAAAAGTTTACGGGGCCCAAAGGGAGAGCTTCAGGTAAGTCTATCTACTTTTAGCTTCACTACTTGCACTTTACAGGGAAATCATTCTTGTCTGCAAAATGGCATACAGCTGTCTCCCATAATCAGCAATATATTTTATATATTATCCATATTAACTGTTACAGCCATATTAACCCTACCTTGCCGACAAAACACTTCGATATGATTTTAAGACATCTATATATTTCCATTAAATAACGGCTCTAGGTAAAGAACTCCAGACCTTTATTGTTCTTATTGTAAAGAACCCCTTCACTGCTGTATATAAAATAAACCTTCCACAAGCGTTAAAATATTACTTAAAGTCAGCGGCAGAACAACCACCAGTGCAGCTGAATCAGGGCCTGCATACAGAGGGGGCCCATCGGGTGGACCATGCATGTATGGAATTGCCCTCAAGTGGTGTGGTCATGGCATGGTCAGCCCTTTAGCAGCGTGATTGGGACCCTGTAACATCAGCAGTCAGTGATGGGAGGAGGTGAGTGCCATTCTATTCCTCTTATCAGTACACACAAATACTCCCCTACATAAACAAGCTTATATTCAAACACACAAACACTGCTCAGTGCTAAATGCAACCCTGCAATGATGGACATATGGTAGATGCCCAGGTAGCAAAGCAGTGTGGAACTTATATGCTGGTGTGGATCTACCTTTTGGCCACCATCTTGCACCAGGGGCCTCTCTATGTTAGTTCAGCCACTGCTTCATGTTATTTGTGAAATCCAGTACATAAAAAAGGACACCTGGGAGGTGTCTGCAGTGGGGTTACATGCATTCTATTATAATCCTTTTAAGTTGTCCATTTTTGGCACAAAATGCTTTTGCAATTTGTAAGTTTTTTAAATCCTAAATCTTCTGCATTGCAAATGTTAATATTCAGTCCAGTTCTACACCGTTTCCACTTGAAATAATGCTCAGACATATATTGTGCAGAAGGTGGTAATTGTGATGGACCGCCTGGCCCCCCCGACCGGGTGCCTCCGCCAACCGATGCTCCTAGTGCTCACTGAGGATTCCAAGCACTCCACCCAACACCATCAGCACTGTAGTCCCCATGTCCAGTGTTACAACATGGCTGGGAACTTGCCGTCCTCCACCCACCCTTGACCCAGGATCCAGCTTCCAGTGGGCAGACCTTTCCTACTTTAGAAAGCGTAGCATGAACAGCTCTTAGAAGAGCTAGTGATTATAACACTCCAAAGATCAATCCCAAGAGCAGGGATTATAGCAGTTCCCTCAATCACGAGACGAGGCTCTGTGTTGAGGGTAAGCAGGAACTAATTTTAATGGTGCCACACTTGGCCTTATATGACAATCCACATGCAAGGGGTACGTCCACA